AATTTTAATCTTTAACAATTTCTGTGTTGGTTTGACATTTAGAAAATCTTCTCCTCTTGGTTAGAAAAAATAGTGGAGAAGAACTGGGGGTGCAATAACAACCCATTCACAAAATAGAAATCAAATCTGTGATGGCATCTGGAAAAAGCCCATCTTGAAAGCATGGTCAGGGTGGAAGGAAACAACAACAGGAGAGTCTCGATTTGGCAAAAGAACATAATACATATGGCTTATTGTATCAATAATTAATAAGCAGGTCATTAAGAGATGCCCATAACATATTTATAATTTCTGTCTTTGCTGCGTAACCCTTAATTTTTCTGAAACAAAAACATGAACTTACAAACTAGTTGATACTGTTAACCACATTGTTTCATTTGATCCTTGCCATGGACCTGGTACTACAATAATGTTCTTTTGAGATAGAAAGACAGATGTTAGGCAAAAATATACAAGATTTTCTTTCTAATCATAATCTTTGCCAATAGGCTACTACAGAATCCCATGAGAGATGATGCCATTTAAAACTTTCACAATAGTCAAGAATAGTATGTGATTGGCACCTAAAACTGCCAACAGTGATATCATGGGATTTATTTCATTGGGCAGTATCTCGGTTGAGTTCACAACCTATTCCCTATGCTATTAAGATTGGTCCAAACTTGGCGATGGATTCTGGGGAAAAAATTATTTCCTGATCAATTTAAACTTTCTTTCCCAGAGTCAAGAGAGATTTGCCCAGGCTCAGAGTTTTCATTTATTTTTTTCCCCTTTCAGCTTTTGAAAGAGAAATTCCTTTTTTGTCTGCTTTGTGATTGCTTTTGTGTCAAATTCAGCATAAAAGCTTTTCAAACGTGACAGCATTAGCTGTTTTGTGCTTGGCTGAGCTAAGAGTACATGAATTCAATAGAGAAGTGAAATTTTGTTTGAACCTAGCTGATTTGGCTATATAATACTTATAACTATCTGAAGCGAGAAATTCAGTAATTTTCAAATTATTATATAAACATTCCAAGGCTGTAAAATTTCTGTGTTTTTGAAGACATTTCTTAGGGAACTTGCAACACAGATACACTGTAATCACATAATTAATTTTAAGAGTTGAACTTATTAAATATTGTAACTAAGGTAACTATTTGATGATCTCAAATTATTTTATTAAAAAAGAAGGTAATCAGGAAGAACTTCTTTTTCAAATATGGAAATAGAGCCTTACATTTTTAATTATTTGTGAGGGGTTGAATGGTATCAGATAATATCCTATCTGCCATAAAGATATGTATAGTAATGGAAACTGAATTCCTCCTTTATATATTTTGTTTATTTTTTAGAGTTGCATAAAATTAATCAGCAAATTAACCCATGCTAGTAGTTTGAGGTTTGGATTTCTGGTACAATAATGAAAAACATTATCAGAAATCTTCTTGCCAAGACCTACCATTTCTTCATGCATTTTCTTTATTCCCTTTTGTTCTCTCCTAAAGCTTCCACATGATTAAGGAGAAAAAAAATCAATAACCTAATAGCACTTTTCCTCCTAAAGTATGCATGAAGCTATTAAACTTCTCAAAGC